CTCAAGATGATTTTTGGAACTTAGGCAAAACTTATAAACAGCCACTTAAACGCAAATATGGTCATTTACAAGAATTCAGATTTAAAAATCATTAGCATCACTCTATATCATCAGTCTTTGACGCCCAACACTTAGAAATCTAAAAGAATTAATTATGGTTATTCAGAATACTTGTATGAACTGTTCATAATAATATGCAGTGTGCTAGAGGGAAGTGTAATCACTCTGTAGTTAAAAGCAGCAATGAAATTTCAATCTTAATGGAAATGGCAGCTTTCCTGTCTGCAGAAGATACAAGCAAAGATCTCAAAATGTAGTCCAATCTCTTGTGGTTTCTCATGATATTTTTAATACTGACTAAATCGGGAAACTTCTTGCCATTAATTCCCCATACAGGGAAGATTTTATTTTGGTGAGAACTAGGTTAGAGAAGACTGTCAAAACTTTAGTTTAAAGCAGGTCTGTCTTGGAAAATCTGGGTGTGGAGTTTCTCAAAGACTAGGGTTGTTCAGTATAGTTCTGCCCCTAAGCAGGGGCCAGCTCTGCTCGGCCATTTCTTCCAGTTCACCTCCTCCAGTAGCTCCAGTTTTGCTTACAGAATGTTTCTACAAGCTACAATTGCACAAAAAGTTGGTGATCTCAGTGTTGATAACATAGCTTCCTCACACAGCATCTATCCAAAAATATTTCCATATTTACCTCAATGTATTCAAAGAAAACAAGTCTTTTAACCAATTTTTTCTTTAGGTGTAACAAAAAGGGTTGAAGGGATGCTAGGTACCAGGGGTGCTGGTTAAAGAGGAAGATGAGTGCTAGAATTGCAAAGACACCAAGTCCTGTAAAACTATCATGAAGGCCTTTACATCTAACAGCAATTTTCATTTGGGGCTGGGTAGTTAATACTAAAAATACCCTACTTTTCTTATAGTGAATTGTTATGAGCACACTGGAATATAGCAATGCACAACAGGTGTTTCAACACCAAAAAGACTCCAGCTGTTCCCACTTACTATAATTAACTTTACGGAGAACTCTGCATGAAGGACTGGACACTTTGCAGATTAAACAAGATCAGCTCCATGAACACACCTAATGCCACCTAACGCCACCTAACCACTAATTGGCACTCAGTCTAGGGGACCAGACTACAACCAGTTCAAAGAAAAACCTGAAATGTAACATGGAGGTCAGGTCCACAACATCAAATGCCATGCTCTATAAATTTATTCTTACTGGGCTATACTTGCTAGTGAAGCTGTACTCTGACCTATGAGTCAAATCCTGCATTCCTTCGACAAAACTCTTAAAATAGATGAGAAACTGGTTTAGGTAATGATTGTTAAATTTGTGCTATCAACATTTTGAAAAACTCCCCTAAAAAAAGCCTGAAGACAGGTATAAATGAGCTCCCAGCCAAATTTAGCCTTCAGGAAAGCTGAGCACAGACTTGTCTTTCTCAAACATCACCCATCAACAAAATCAAGATTTAAATTACTTATCTGGAACTCTTCTGCTTGTTACATGGAGATTTGTTGGTCAGCACGCCACAAACTCTGCTTGTTGTTTTTGGTGTTTTTTTCCTTCATTTCTCTCACTGGATCAAATATGAGACAGTAAATACCCATCATTATATTGGTTGCCAGCAATGCCTGAATCTAAATGAAAATCTCTGTACAATCAGTTCACATATGGAGTGAAGGGTCCAGTAACTAGGGCAAGCTCTATGCTTGCTAGCAGGACAAACCCTCTGCCAGGTGGACTGACGTAACAAGCCTGCTACTTCTCCAGGTGTAATCAGCAAGGAATAAAACCCACGTGCGAGACTGAAAAAGCTGAGTAGAAGACAGTGGTTGGTGGGGTAGGATTTCCTAGGGGGGTCTGTTTGTGTTATTACTTTCTTCTTTAAGATTTTTACATCTCCTTTTGCTGAAATTTATCCCTTTCCCTATGGTTTAAAGAGTATGTTGCTGGATCTCATCCTGAGTCAATTTTCTGGTCCAAGCCTTTGAATTCTGGTGTCCCAGAAAGTAAAGGACATGTACTGCTGTGGGGTGAGTTTAGTGCTTGTGGAAGGCTTCCACTGCTTGGTCTCCTTCCCCAAGCACAGGAGACCTGAGCTTCTCTTCTCTGGTGTGAAGCACAGGCAGGTAAAGTGCTAAAGGAATGCTGTAGTAAAGCCTAATTAAATTCTTGAACTCTCTATGCCACCATCTTGCTGAGAAACCCTTTTTTTCCTTTGATGCATTTGGTAATTACGGGAAACCTGTGCCTGCTCTAGCTTCGCCAAGCCATGGACCCTGGGGCAACTTCCTCACCCAGTCCTGGCTGTGAGGTGCTCACAGCTGAATTTTCCCGTGTTCCTCTAGTCACAGCAGAGCAGGGCCTGCAGCTCTTGTGTCTGTCCTCCTCACACCTGCCCATCCTGAGGCCAGGGCTCTCCTGAATGGGATGGAGGTTTTTCAAACAGACTTCTAGCCAGAGTTTCTCTTTCATATGGTGCTAGCTGTGTTGTAACATGTTTTGGGAGCCGCTTAATGTGTCTCAAAAAGTAATCTTCTGTACCTTTCCTGGAGAATGTATTTTAATTTCAAAGTGAAAAGGAGGGTTTATCTGGAAACAGCCAATTGGCTGTTGTGCAGCAGCTGTTTGTGTGAAGCTTGCCCATTCCCCGAGAATGGAGGGTGCCTGAACAGCCATCTGGCCCCTGGTCCTGGAAAAGCCGATGTGGCCATTCAGCCTAATCCTGTGTTCAGTCAGCTGCATCCCAAACTCTGACTAATAGAAGTATTTTGCTGTTTATCATCCGATAAATGCTTACTGGCTTGTAATCGGACTCACTCATAGTCTGGCCAATGCAGCAGCTGTTATTTTTAGCTGCCCAAATTTCATTTTCCTGTGTTATTTGCTGCAACCAGACCGACACACTCACATTTTGATAGCCTTGCTCTTGGTCCCTGTGCTCGCGGACAAACGAGCTCATGTCTTTATTGTTTACCAAAAGGATGTTGTTGAGGATTACTGGCCTGGATTTCCAAACCTCTCAAGTGTATGCCAGCATGAAATTACTGTCCTTAAAGGCAATTTACCCACTGAGAATCCCACAACCTTTGAAATAACTCTACCCTTTATGCCGTCTTTTCTTTTCTTTAAGAAATAAACAAAATCTACCACAACTCAGCCACACTGGAGGAGCAATGTCATATGGAAATGTGCTTGTTCTGAACACAATAGTCTATACCTTCCTCACAAGGAGAAGCAGAGGGGCAAGCACCAGTCTCTTATCTCTGGTGACCAGAGATAGTATCCAAGGGAATGGCATGAAGTTGCATCAGGGGAGGTTTAGGTTGGATATTAGGAAAAGGTTCTCCACCCAGAGGGTGGTTGGGCACTGGAACAGGCTCCCCAGGGCAGTGGTCACAGGAACATTTTTACACTGAAATACGGACTTTAACAAAGTGAGGGTTTAAAATAAAGCAAAAAGCCTGCATTCCAAATAAATTTGTACTGACAAAGGTGGTTGATCCACCGTGGTACTTCTAAGCACACCTAAATGGGACTGTACTGAACTTAGAAGCAAATTTCTATAAAAATCAGACCCAGAAACCCAATTTAAAACTGTTTTGTTGAACTATAAAGAAGTCATGTTGTAGGAATTAACAAACACAGTTGTCATTTACAGACTATGTGTGTGCTCTCTTTCCCTTATTCTAAGTTGCATTTAGGGGCGTTTAGTTTTTTCTCTTTCTTCATCATCCTGTGAAAGTTTTTTAGCTGCTTGGCCACAGTGATGATTGATGATGGAGGACACCACATAGTGACTAGATGATGATGGGTAATGCAGGTACCAAGAGGCCATTAGGATTTTGGTAAAAGAGAGAGCACAGTACAGATGCAAGAAAAAAAAAAAAGAATAAATACAGTGTAAAAATAAAAAGTTTATAATTAAATGCTTTTTTTGTTTGGTAGTGGTTTGGTTTTTTGTTTTGTTTTGTGGGGTTTTTTGTTTGTTTGCTTTTTTGCTTAGTTTAGTTTTTGTTTTGTTTTGTAGTAGTAGTAGTTCCTTTAAATGTGTATAAAGCATTGCCCTAAGTGGAATATTCGGTATTTATTGAAGCATACACACACACACACACAAGACCTAATCCCAGTATAAAGAAGTTTCGAACTTTGAAACTGTTTTATACCAAGTAAAGATAAAGGCTATTTTCTCCAGATATTCCATAACTTAAATTATCTAAAATACTTCAGTCTATGTGTAATTAAGCAGATGAATAAATCTTATTGAAGTCAAAAAGCTACTGATGTGATTTAAGAAGATACATAGTTAAATTCTATTTGGAGTTTAGATCCAAAAGCTTAACTCCATCCCCATTCAGCAGTACATTTAGGCAAATTTAGACACTTCCTTAAATCAATAGGATTAGATGTTTGCTTGAAGTTACCCATGAGTTTAAATGTCATGCTAAGTAGGAAAGTACTTATGTAATGGATTAGCTCCAGTTGAAATTTTGTAATTATCTAAGAATGTTTTTAAGGTCCTGAAATACATTTCTTTTCCCATTCCATTTTTAAACCATTTTCTAGACAAGAGAAAATATTTTCAGTTTTAACTTTTCATGCCATTACCTTACTCTCTTCCACCTTATTTCCACCACAGAAATCAAAAAGTGGCAGAAAAATAAGGGAATTATTTTTTCATATAGAGGGGTAGGGAAATATCAAGTTTTAATTTTTTGATTTAAAAAAAAAAGCTAAAAAATTGCAAATTAAGAAAGCCTGCGGAAAAGTAAATGATGCATTGATGTAATTCATTATTTTCTAACTGGGCCAGTTGAATGCAAGACTTGTAGAAGGTTTTCATTAAAGTGTACAGGGAGTACTAAGGTTACTCTTTCCCGACATGAATGTCTGCAGCTTCATACCCATTCACCAGGTTTTTTCACAACTTCAAGATGAACAGGTACTCCTGATCTAAGAGCAAGAAAAGAAACAAGCCAGCATTTGTATTAAGAAACATTTTTATTAACAAAACAGTAAATTCCACTTGCTTAGCATTTCCAATAATGAATAAATTGGCCTTGCAACAAATAAAAAAATTGTAAATATCTATCACAGAAAGCACTATAAGGTTAGGGGCATTGGGCCTCTCTTTGATGTCTTAGGGTTGAAAGTTTCACACGTTATTTAGTGTTTTGTTAAAAAAGGCAACACAATACAGTCATAGAAATGAAGCCATCTCAGTCAAACAAATTAGGTTATTAAATAGAAAGGATCCAATTTTATGTTAGGTAGTTGGTTTATGTCTGTTTGTTGTTGCTGCTGTTTTTAAACAAAAAGGAATTTTAAATCCACTTGCTGGCACTTCTGATACATCCATAATTGTTTTTTTGTTAAATTATGAAATTAAAGAGGAAAAAGGAGAACCTTCAGAAACAGTGTTAAAATTGTGTTTGCTTATTATAATAGTAGCAGATCTTTTTTTCCTTGATGTATGGATTTAGTTAAAGATTGACCTACCAAACTGCCTGGAAGTTGGCCTGACAATGCTATTTCATTAATGCAGTCAATACCAAGCAGAAAAGACCATTTCATCTTGTCCAAACCATATTCTGTCAACAGATTATTCTTGCTCTTCTATGTATCTTCAACCACTGAAATCTGAACACCACCTGGCTTTCAACTCCTTCTTTCCCCTCTCCAGCTGAAGTCTCTTGCTTCCAGCAATGACCTCCAGTATACCTGCCTCTGCCATTCCCTGAGTACAGCTCTCTTGTAAAGGTGGGAGAAATTACGAATGCCACACAATCTAAGAAATGAACGTCAGATGGATTTTTTGAACCTGTACTCATTTTTGTGTAAATGCTAACAAAAATAAAAATATTTTTTACAAATGCAACATGACACACCTTGATGTGGTGGGCACACTTCAAGAGAGGTGTTTTCATGTCAGCTACATGTATTTTTAAAGTGCTTTGACTCCCAGATAGACAGCTGTACCAGTTTCCAATTCTTTTTTCATCAGCTACAGTGAATAACACACAACAAAATGGTTTGTGTCTCCCGTTTAAAGCTAATTTTAAATTCCTCCTTCCTGTCTGCAAAGTGTGAATATCTATATCCCTTCCAGGAGGCCTTCCAATGATTTGGTTGATTTCTATTAAACTACCCTCTTTCTGTCTAATGTTTTCCTTTTGAACTTCCATGTAAATAAAATGTTATGCTATGATTTATTGCTGTGAAACTAATGAAATATTACTAGAAAAAAACCAAACTTAACATGTAAATTACAGCATTATATTTACTATGTTTAACTAAAATGCATTAATGTTTTATATATGCAAGATAAGCTGTGTCACTTTAAAACATGATGAACTTGTCTGGTTATGATGTCTTGCAATACTACACAATCAACTTAGCTAAAAATACTTTTTCATATGTCAAAATGCCCACCATTGAAAAATACTATCGTGCACCTCAAGATTATTTCCTTTTTGGAGAAAGGGATAAATTCTGCAGTAGAATCAGCCTGGATATTTAAAATGGGTATTTTAGATCTTTTACCACCCTGTGCTGTAGTAGCTGTTGTTCATATAACTGAATGCCAGATAAACACTATATGATACTTCCTAAGATTCTCAAGAAACTCATCATTCTCTTTATTTCTAAGAACAAGGTTTCTGTAAGGCAAACCATGCTCTCCAATAGTGAAGCTTTGACTGGAAGCCAAAGACCAATTTAAGTCATTAAATATTTAGCTAATTAATGAATGTTATTTCTAGGAAAATTGGCCGTTCTGATCAACTTCATTGATGCATATCAGGAGCAAGAGATGGGGATAGGAGGGAGAAGACAAATTACAGTAGAGATATATTTTTGCTTTCTAGTCCACGTCTTTCATACAAACTACTAAAACTTAATTGCAACATAATAGAGGCTGTACAGGTAAGAAAAAAATTAGCTGACTCTTATATACATTCATACACATCCCCCTTAGTCTAACCACTACACTGTAAATTAAAAAGAAAAAAAAAAAGGGGAAAAAGTCTGGGACAATTTATAATGGCTGCAAAAAAACTGAAGTATGTCTGTTGCTCCAGATGTCATAAAACTCTCTATACCTAGCAACACTTATAACATTGAGTTTACCAAAAATGGCTGAAGAGCAGATATAGTTTGCATTTTCTATACAACAGGCTATAAAACATCACTTATCACAGTCCAGAAAGCACATATAGATGTGTTTTTATATAAACATATGTAATAACATATTAAGCGTGCATGAAAATTTCCCAATGATTGCATCTATGCCCTCTTGTTTTCCTTTTTTTTTTTTTTTTTTTTTTTTTTTTTTTTTTTTTTTTTTTTTTTTTTTTTTTTTTTTTTTTTTTTTTTTTTTTTTTTTTTTTTTTTTTTTTTTTTTTTTTTTTTTTTTTTTTGTGGAAATGTGCCTTATATTCCAGATTTTTGTTTTTGTTTTTGAAAATAAGGCCTCCGTACTATTTTCCTCACAACCAGAAAGGGGCTTTTTGAAAGTATTTCTACATAAGTCTTCAGAAAAGCCAGCACTTTGTTTCAAATGCAAGTTTCCAATCACTGCTTCACTGCACCAGACGGCAAACTATGTTTGCTTGTTGAGTCACCATATATAATGACAGTCTTCTCTGACAATAAGACTAACTTACTTCTCAAGAAAGCGCTAGCACTTTGGCTAAATCCAGAATCATAGGTAGCTTCTTTTTTCTTTTTTTTTTTTCCTGTTTTGTTTTTTTTTTTTTTTAATTTGTTTTGTTTCATATTGTGCCTTGATGTTGTAGTAATACTCCTTGCTTTATGAATGCGTGGTGTCATCATTGTCTTTCAGAAACGTTCCAGCAACATAAAGACAGGCAGAGTAAATGAAAACACTGTGGATGTTAGGGAATTTATCAGCTCCTGTTTCTGAAAAACAAGAGCTGAAATGCTTGTTTTTAAAAACAGTCTTTCCTTTCTGATTGCATTCCCTGTCTTTTTTTGTTTGTTTGTTTTTGAATGTGCTTCATAAAAAGTAAAGTAAATAAGTTTGTATTATGTCTCAGATAAAATGAAGACTATTTCTATACAAGCGTTCTTTTAGATGTTGAGATCAGACATAGTACTCCTTATCCTTATTTTTCTTGTTTTTGTTGGAACTTTTAGCGCTGTTGGGCTGTTTTTCCTTGATCACAGCCCCATTGGATTGTGCTGAGTTACTGATGTAGTTTCGACTCTCATCTACGTGATACGATCCTTCATCTCGATTCCTGTACTTGTACATGGCATACAGGAGAATGAGGATACATAGCGCTGCCGCCGCCACGATCCCAACCACCATGCCCGTTGTGCTGCTGGATTCACGAATCACCTCGGATGAGCCAGGGTACTCCCTTCCTCCTCCTGCCCTGGTAGGATTTGCTGTAGGTAGACAATGAAATAAGGGAGAGGTTAATATTGAGTTTACACATTGAGGAGTTAGTCAGGTCTACCTGCTACAGTCATGCATCTTTCTAATTGCACTCACTGGGTCAGGACTGACACTCTCAATATATCCAGACTCTACCAGTCTGAAAACAGTTAGGTTTGCAGCCCATTCCATTTTCACATCTTTCAGCACAAGCAAATAGGCTTTTAAATAAGGAAAAGGACAGAAGGGAACATCTCATTTTAGCCTTCAAAGGTATAGTTTGTGCAAATGTGTTAATAAGCAAAGAACACCTAAATAATCTGAAATAACAGATGTGCCACAATTTATATGCAGGAACATGAACATCTCGGAGGAAGGATTTCCCTCTCTCCCTCTCTCTTTCCCTCCTTCTGTAAGGAACAAAAAGTGACACTATAGTACTTATTGAGAAGACAGTGATGATAAAACAGCTTACCAAAGAGAATGGAGGAAAAAATGAAAATGTCTGATAGCAGCCAGTAAGTTGGCTACAAATAAGGTATTCTCAGCTCTCCTTTACACTTCCCTCAGCAAACTTCTCAGTTTCTCTTTCCCTCTTAATATATTTTTTAATTAATTATATTTATTTTTATTATTTTTAGAAAGCTGTCCATCCCTACCTTCTCTTTTCTAATTCTGAGTCCTCCTTGAACATGGTTACACTTTAGAGTGCTTTTTGATTCAACTTCCCGCATTCCCTCTTTTTGTCACTGATGCCATTGTCAGACATTCCTTCAAGCAATGTTATATGCCCCGAAGAAACCTCTTGAATTGCACAGAGCAAGGACTCGGCCTCCCAAGAACCCACCTCTCAGGCCAGACTTTGGTCTTTTCAGTTGTGAGATGAACTGAGCTGACCTATGTCTTCACACTGTAAAGTCTTCTTGATAGGAACTATTGTGTTGTCTGGCACATTTTGTCTCCTTCCACAACCATGTGAAATGAAACCCTAATTCCAGGAGGAATTTCTAGTTTAAATGCTCACAGCACACACAATGCTTATGCGTTTCCCATGATTTCCTTCCTTTATTGCATTTTGCAGCAGGAGAAGGAGAATTCTATCTTTGTATAGAATCGCTTTAAGAGGCAATAGCTGAAATGGATCTTCTCTAGCTTAGCAAGTGTCATGGACAGAAATGAAGTGACCTGGGTCTGTGCAATACTCCTCTGATTATTTCAGCCTTTCCAAACTTGTGAGGGGCTGTGCACCCTCAGCACTGCCAGCCTTGGCAGAGCTCAGGAGAGCAAAAGCAATGAGTGAACCAGGGTTTCCCACTGAGCAGTGCAGAACACTCTCATTAAGCAGGCAAGCTGCCTTATAGAAACTGAATTTTAAATCATTATGCATGGCTAAATATTCAGTCACTAAAATATAAATGTTAACTAAGAGTACTATTAAACCCTGGTTATACAATATATTTATTAATGTTAGCTTTATCAGGCCTTGCCTCCATTCATTTCATTGAAGCGTATTAGAGAATTGTCTTGCTCAAAGTCCACAAAAGCACACTAGACCCCATAGTCACTTTTTTTTTTCTTTGCACTGTAAAGACATATAAGGAAGATTATGATTTTAAGTATGCTACATTAAAGGTAATGACAGCCAAACTATCTATACTGGTCAAAGAATTGCAGCAAGTTTGGACAACCAGAATTGAAAGCAGCCACCAACTGCAGACATCTACAAATGGCCTATGAATACTAAACAGAGCAAAAAAACCACAGAGCCCCAACAGAAATAAGTTCCTTCCCCACTCTTATTTATTGATGATTTGTGTTCTTACTGCTGAAACACCACTTCCTGGCAGTTATCCCAAATAGATTTAAAGAAATTGACATTTTATTTGGCTGAAAGAGCAGAGGCACCACTATAAGACTCAAAAAAATGCCTGTAATTCATATAAAATAATATGTTAACTTTTTTTTTCTCCCTCTGAAAGTTCTTAGTTGTTATGAGTTAGTACAATTGGTATTTTGCATGACTACACAAGAGATCTTGAAGTTTCACTTCAGAATGTTTTAAGATTTTTTTTTTATCATTTCAGGGTAGAAATGATAACCCTAAGAAAGGTGGTCTGTTCCAAAGTAGTCCATGGATGGTTTAGAACCTGTTTCTTAATTGTAGCTATTGTAGAAAATGGAAATTCTTTTACACATAGGGTGTCATTTATTGTTTTACAAAAGACAACGCATTGTTGCAGAACAAAGACCGAGTTCTTACATAGTGAATGAAAATGAGACAGTCTTATCTTACTGTATGTGATTTCAGGAAATTAATTTCTGTCTGAGAAATAATAGAAGCAACTGAATAAACTCTGTCAATACCTGACGGACTAACAGCTGCTCCTTCTCTTTAAAATACAGTGATTTGGGCCAAATACCATCAATTAACTTTACAATTAATGTCTACTAAATGACACTTAACAGCTTGTTCAGAGGAAGATGTTCTAACATTGCAACCTAAAGAAACATATAAGGTATATTTTTCAATGTTACCTAAACTCCTGCCTTTCACCTGATGGCTTCCTTTTATTTTAAGAATGTTTTCACAATTATCTCATTTATCCCATCTGTCTGAGGAATATTCAACCACTACATTAATGTTATTTAAACTTATAACATTTCAAAGCATCTGTTGTTACATTTGTTTGGATTTCTGTAAAAGGAGCAGTTCAGCAAGGAAAAGGACTTCTTGCTGGTTTTCTTCCATTTACATTAAAATATGCTTTTAAACTAGCAGGACCTCTCAAATGAAGGAGGAGGAAACAGGAAGGTTTTACAAAGCACATGGGTTTGTCTGTGAGCATTTTTGGTAGGGACAGCTAATGGCGTACACACTAAAGCAAGTGTCCTATTCTGAAACAGGGAGGAAAGGGCCACTGGAAAAAGGCCAGCCTAAACTTCATCTGAAATATATATAAATAAATAAATCACCATCTATAACGTTGCTGAAACAGCTGCCTTCTATTTAAGCAAGTCCTTTGTTTGACTGAGGCTGGAGTACCCAAGGGAAATTTACCTGGATTTTTTTTCCCCCCTGCAAGGCAGGAACTATTATGAGGGACAGTAGATGATCTCAATGGAGAGCAAGTGAAGATTATCAGGTTTTGCTCCTTGCTTCCCAGCTCTTTGAGAAACACATGATGTAGTTTTCTTCCTAGCATCTTGGTAGCTGAACCAGGCAGAGTCATTGTCTGCTGGCACAACAGCAGATGTTTGTCTATGGATAACCCTCTCTGCTACTCAGTTGCAGTCACTGTTAGCATCTGCAGCATGAAAAAGATACTAACCTCATCCTAGACATAGTTTCCTACTGTAAATGAGAAGTGAAATACCTTACAGGTTAATGTTAAGATTAAATATTGTTAAAAAATGACTCAGTGTTTTAAGAATAAAAAATTATCTAAAAAAACACCCCAAAATCTGAACCCATCTATTTAATGAAACAGTTAATTGAGCATAGTTTGATAAGACAAAATCATAAAGACACTAAACATGCTCGGACCTTGCCATAACAGCGAGAGGAAACAAAAGTCATCTTGTGGTGCAATGACTCCTTCTTAAAACAACTTCTCTGATGTAGAGCTCTTCCTCTCAATAGCATACAACCAGCCTTTTTGGACTGCCTCAAAGACCAGCTTAGAAGAGACTGATTTTTAAAAGCCATTTATGAAAAGCTTTGCATGAAATAATAGCTATTGAGCACAGTTTTACGTTGTGTAATAATGGATTAGAAAGTTATTATTCTTGACTGTATTTCTAAGTGGTTTAAAATTTAGAGGGAAAAATCTAACTATTTTCAGTGCCTAGTTTTCATTAATACTGTGAAAAGAAAATTGGAATTGCAGGCTCCCATGGTGTTTGTGAATTGAAATTAGCAGACTTAAAAACAAAACAAAAAACCAACAAAAGGACCCCAAACCTGTTTTCTTTACATTTATGCCTTCCCACAAACTGTGAATAGGAAATTACTCACAAGACAGAAATGTTTAACTACTGCATTTGCAATGAGGCATGAAGGCAATTATTTACAGGACACATATTAATTTTCACTCTGTGTGCTATCATTGTAGACCTGTTTGTGGTCGATTTTCTGTAGCATTGTTGGATTCTGGTGAACTGGTTTCTGAGCTTACTGCAATTTCAACACCTCATTACAACGAATACATCTGAAAAACAAACTTCAGCACTTCCTCTGCAGAACCAGTGGGATAGTGGCAGTCCAGTTTCAAAACCAGGATGTGAATCTCCTTTAAATTTGTGCGAGAGAACTCAGCTCAAAACCTGCGCTGGTCTAATACAGGGATATGTCAGCCTGGTCCCTTCCTACTCAGCTTCAACTGGGTCTCAAGGGGAGGCAAGAACTGGCTCCCCAAGGGATGTCCATCAATGACTAAGTTGTCATGGGACAGAAGTAATATGAGGTGGTTCCATATGTGGTTGCTGTAGCTCAGTGACGACCTTTCATCTCACTTGGAACAGCCTATATCCAAAGCCAGGATCTTACCCACCTCGGAGAGGTACCACAAAACTTACTCCATTTCCAAACACTCACTGTATGCTCCATGATCATAACTGCATCTTGATTCAACAAGAACAGGAGCTGAGACCTGCACACAACACAGTGTGATGTGGTGGAAAGGTGTGGTGTCAATGAACAGGGCAGCTACAGTTGATATCTTGAACTCACACCATTGCATTTATTCTAAGAAATCTGTCAGCCACTGACTGAGTTTGAGGGAACAAGATAATAACTTATTTTCAGAGAAAGTGTTTAAGGGAAAAATTATTAAGGTATCTGTTCTACTCTTTGGTGTGCAAACCCAGGTTCTTTACTTCCTAGAAATTAAAATTTTCAAAGGTTCTTGGGAGGAAAGATGCAATGCATTAAAATACCTCTAAAGTGACATTAGCTAACTTAGCTGGTTATAAAAATAGTCTAGTAGTGGAACACTATCCTCATGAAAAAGGC